TATACAATTTTTTAAATTTTTTTAGCTCTACAAAATGGTTAGGAAAGAAATAGTGAAATTTTGTGTTTTTAGGGTCAAAAATGGGAGAAACCAGTTTTTACCCTACAAAACCCCCCATAAAACCCCTGTTCCCATAGTCCGATCATGCTGGGTCCCGAACTCATTCGAAGAAACGTCTCAGAGGTTTAGTACACGTTTGTACCAAATTTAATCAAAATCGGATAATTTTTGCTCGAATTATTGCGCTAACAGACTCACACACACACACACATACATATATCAGGGTTCCCACGGACCTGGGAACTCAGGGAAGATCAGGGAAAGTCAGGGAAACAGGTATAGGATCAGGTAATGTCAGGGAAAGTTAAAAAAAAGGCTGAAAGTCAGAGAAAAGTTTTAAAAATAAAGTAGGCCCTAAGTCAAAGAAATTTACTTAAAACTGTTGAAAATGCCTGCCTTTTCTATTTATTTGTAATAGTCATACAGATGATATGAATGTTGTTTTTACTATCAGCTGTCTGTTTTGTTGTCCAATATTGTTCCTTGTCATGAAAACATTAATGAGAAATACATTTGATTATTTTATTGAGCGGAGCGAGCGAAGCTCTTATACGTCGACTCTTATGCATTTCGTAATACGCAAACTCCTCCTAGACGGCTGAATCAATCGTTTTCAAATTTTGCAAGGTGATAAAGACCATATCGGCGAGTGCCAACATCTATATGGCGTTTAATAAGTCTCTCAGGAATCCGCCCCACTGGGTCTCAAAGTTTCAATGTAATCCTTATGGAAGAAGTATTTGACACATAAACAAATACATATGATCAGCTGTTGACTTTTGAATGCAGTAGAAAAGAAATAGTTGATAGCATTAATCCACAGATATTAGAACAGAAACTGTATGGATCATAAATACAGTATAACCAAATGACGACACTAGCTTGAGGTCCGTGACGTAAGAAGTGGTGAAGGAAGTAGTAAAGGTGAGCAGTCTGGAGTGTGAAAACTGATTATGGCGATTAGAATTAAGTATCTGCATTCCTAAAATTCTATGGGAAGGGAAGAAAACGGGTCCGTGACGTAGGAAGTGGTGAATGAAGTAGTCAAGGCGAGCTGTCCGGAGTGTGGGAACTGTTTATGAAGATTAGATTAGGGTATCTGCATTCCTAAAATTCTATGGGAAGGGAGGAAAACGGGTCCGCGACGTAGGAAGTGGTGAAGGAAGTAGTCAAGGCGAGCTGTCCGGAGTGTGGGAACTGTTTATGAAGATTAGATTAGGGTATCTGCATTCCTAAAATTCTATTGGAAGGGAAGGAAACAGGTCCGCGACGTAGGAAGTGGTGAAGGAAGCAGTAAAGGCGAGCTGTTCGGGGTATGGGATCCGTGTATGACCATTAGATTAAGGTATTTGCAATCCTAAAATGCTATGGGAAGGGAGGAACACAGGTCCGTGACGTAGGAAGTGGTGAAGGAAGTAGTAAAGGCGAGCTGTTGGGAGTATGGGATCTGTTTATGACCAATAGATTAAGGTATTTGCAATCCAATAATGCTAAGGGAAGGGAGGAAAACGGGTTCGTGACGTAGGAAGTGATGAAGGAAGTAGTAAAGGCGAGTTTTTCGGAGTGTGGGGTAACTGTTTATGACGATTATATTAAGGTATCTGCAATCCTAAAATGCTATGAAAGGGAGGGAAACAGGTCCGTGACGTAGGAAGTGGTGAAGGAAGTAATAAAGGCGAGTTGTTCGGAGTGTGGGAACTGTTTATGACGATTAGGTTAAGGTATATATGCAATCCTAAAATGCTATGGAAAGGGAGGGAAAGAGGTCCTACGTCACGGACTAAGTGCGGATTAAGGTAGTAAAAGCGAGTTGTTTGGAGTGTGGGAACTGTTTATGACGATTAGATTAAGGTATCTGCAATCCTAAAATGCCTTGGAAAGGGATGGAAACAGGTCCGTGACGTAGGAAGTGGTGAAGGAAGTAGTAAAGGAGAGCTGTCCGGAGTGTCGGAACTGTTTATGACGATTAGATTAAGGTATATCTGCATTCCTAAAATGCTATGGAAAGGGAGGGAATCAGGTCGGTGATGTAGGAAGTGGTGAAGGAAGTAGTAAAGGCGTGTTGTTCGGAGTGTGGGATATGCTTATGACCAATAGATTAAGGTATTTGCAATCCAATAATGCTAAGGGAAGGGAGGGAAACAGGTCCTAGATGTAGGAAGTGGTGAAGGAAGTAGTCAAGGCGAGCTGTCCGGAGTGTGGGAACTGTTTATGACGATTAGATTAAAGTATCTACAATCTTAAAATTCTATAGGAAGAGAGGGAAACAGGTCCGCGACGTAAGAAGAGGTGAAGGAAGTAGTAAGGTGAGCAGTGTGGAGTGTGGGAACTGGAAACCGTTTGTAGCAGTTAGATTAATGTATCTGCAATACTGAAATGCTATGAGAAGGGGATGGAAGCATGCCCACGACTTAGAAAATGGTGAAAGAAGTAGTAACGGCTAGCAGTGCGGAGTGTTGGCAATGTTTGTGGCAATTATATTGACGTATCTAAAATACTAAAATGCTATGGAAAGTGATTAAAACAGGTCCACGATGTAGGAAGTGGCTTAGGAAATAGTAAAGTATGAGCATAGTGTGAGAACCATCTGTGGCAGTTAGATTAAAGTATCTTCAATCCTAAAATGCCATGAGAAGGGAAGGAAACAGGCCCCACGACGTAGGAAGTGGTGAAGGAAGTAGTAAAGGCTGGCAGTTCAGAGTGGGGGAACCGTTGGGCAGTTAGATAAATGTATATAATACGTAAATGCTATGAGAAGGGAAGGAAACAGGTCTATGACGTAGGAAATGGTGAAGGAAGTAGTAAGGCTTGCAGTGCAGAGTGTGGGAACTGTCTTTGGCAATTACATTAATGTATCTACAATTCTAAAATGCTTGGGAAGAGAGGGAAACAGGTCCACGACGTAGGGGGTGGTGAAGGAAGTAGTAAAGGTGAGCAGTGTTGAGTGTGGGAATGGATTAATGAATCTGCAATGCTAAAATACTATAGGAAGAGACTGTAGACTGTAGGTTAAAATTATTACGAAGCACGAATCGATACATATTTCGATACATGCAATGGTTTATAATAGTAATTTACAACTGAGTTGACAACAGCTGATTTTTACTGCATGGAGGCTAAACACGATTTTTACTCCCTAAAGAGTAAAAATGCTACTTTAGACCCGCAACGCATGCATTAAAAACGACTGTTTTACTACAGTATGACAAAAACAATATAATATGAACCCTTGATCACTCCGCTCAATTTTGTGGATGCCTTTGCGAACGCCACCTAGTAGTTTAAATTCGTTTTTCGTCGTAGTTTTACTTAGATTATCCCTAAACACCTCCACTTGGGAGAATAATTCAAGAAAAACTTTTTAAGATCAGTGTGTGAAATGAACAGATTTGCCAAAACAAAAAAGCAAATCCTTCCCGGGTCTAGGTCCTGGTCTTACCATGAGAGCTACTGTAATAGCTTTAATAGCTTATTCCCTATAGGCTATGGGGCTAAAACATCCTAATCATCGTGTAAATGTACCCTACACTACCATCTCCAAAATCTCTCCAACCATTATGCTAATATTCCACGTCCAAATAATATACTTTATCTCGTAATTAATAGGCAATAGACATTATACCACAGAGATCTAATCACAGAACATTATTTATTTTTTGCAGAAGCTTGATTTTTCCCTCAACTTCCTTTTAGCGAATTTTCCTATAGGGAAGTAGCTATTACCGTAGGTGGCATGTTAAGACCTGGGGCCGGGACCGATATACTTTTTCATTTTGATGTTCCTAGAGGCCAAAACACAATTTGTTAAAATTTATATTTATGTAAATTTTATAGGGATAGTATTATGAGTCTGCATTAATAAGACTTTAAGAAGATTAATAAGATTATAAGACTTATGTACATCTTATGTATATTTAATTAAACAGTTTGTACACATATTAGAATGTACATTTATTTATATAGCCTATAGATTTATATATAGCCTACAGGGTGTTTTTTTTTAAACTTGCATCTTTATTTATGTAAAAACCGCAATAGATAGAAATATTCAGTTTGCGGGAATCATCTATTGACGTAGGGGGCACAATTTTTTTGAATTCAATGTTACATTCACATTCTCCCCCTTTCCCCCCCCCCTGCCCCCAACTTATTTTTTTTAAATAGCAAGGTACCCCTTATGACATATCAAATGAAAGAGCATGAAAAAAGAAAATGTTTGATGAACAAAGATTGAAAATCGGTTCAATAAACTTGTGAGATATTCCCCCCCTCCCCACCCGGAACTTAATTTTTTTTTAATAGCAAGGTAACCCTTGTGACAAATCAAATGAAAAATAAATTTCACCAAAAATTTTCTTTTTTCATGCTCTTTCATTTCATATGACACAAGGGGTACCTTGCGATTAAAAAAAAATTAAGTTCCGGGGAGGGGGGAGGGACATATCTTGCAAATTTATGAACCGATTTTCAATTTTTTTTCATCAAACATTTTCTTTTTTCATGCTCTTTTATTTGATATGTCACAAGGGGTACCTTGCTATTTAAAAAAAATAAGTTGGGGGAAGGGGGGGAAATGGGGGGAAATGGGGGGGGGGAATGAGAATGTAACGTTGAATTAAAAAAAATTGGGCCCCTACGTCTATAGATGATTCCCGCAAACTGCATATTTCTATTTATTGCGGTTTTTACATAAATAAAGATGCAAGTTTTTAAAAAAAACACCCTGTATAGCCTACCGTGAACATGATAATGTCCGGTTTTGATAAAATTTGGTTTGAAGGTGTAAAGCGGAATAAACTTGAATGAGCGGAATAAACATTACAATCTGTCGAGCGGTTTTGGAGTCCATAACGTACATACATATATACATAGTTCCTCTTTTATAGATATAGATACTTTAAGTTGACATTCATGAACTAATGATCAAACTTGTTTTTAAGCTTGAGCACAGCTTCCTTGGGGATAATCTTATTGGGCGAAGCAAAGTTAACCATGGAAGAGACTTCAAAGAAAAGAGGATTTATAACGTATGTACTGTTTTTTAAATTTTATGTTTTTTTTATTGTATCATACGGTAGTTTTTTTTGTTGTATTATTTTACTTGTAGGATGTGTATTCACTATTTCTGCCCGTCATTATTTTAACCTCTCATTTACCTTTGTTTGCTGTCTAGCTAACAATTTGGAACATTCTAGGAAGACACTTTATATTGTGGTTGGTGAATTATTTGCTAAAAAATGTAAAACTCCTAATATCACAAGTAGGCTACATAGGTGTGTTTACTTTATTGTACCGTCACGGGAGCCGGCTGGAGAACACTGAGGGCGACGGCGTTGGTGATAAGACGACCCTTGTACCTTGAGACATCAGTGGCGCACCCAGGATTTGACTTTGGGGGGGGGGACACCGGGGGGTCTGGGGGGTAATTTAAAAACAAGTTTTACTGGAATAATAAATTACGAATTTTTCAATTTAAACTGAGTTAACGTTTCCGACAAACACTGGTCCTAACATCGGCTGCAATTAATTGACAATTGCAATGCAGCATTTTTTTAGCACTACAGTACTAAAAACTGAGGGGGAAGTGAACCTCCTCCACCTTTAACTTAGTCTCTGGCTCTTATTTGCTTACGTCCAAGAACGGTATAAAAGTATAAACTAAGGATAACAACTTTGAGTGGATTGAGATGAACCACAGACAAACATAGGATTGTCTTTGGTTGAACGTTGAACACTATGACTTTTCGTCAGTTTAATGCCGATACAATAATCAAAGGTTATAACAATACCAATTACCAACCAATACAGTACAGGAAGAAACAGGGTAAAATAATTTGTTTATTACCAAATTCAATTTAGGTGATGTATTATATATTTAAACTGAAACCAACATATTGCTACAAAATACAGATTATCTGTAGAAGATCAAAATAAGTTTTTATTCAAATCTTGATGTCGAGACGGCGTGGTTTTTTTGCAAGTTCGTTTAAAACCTCTTCACTACTAACTGTTATGTCTTTATGCACATACAATAACGCCAAACCATTCAGTCTAGTTTCTGATGATGAGTATCTTAAGTATGATTTCAAATATTTCAAGGTCGAAAATGATCGCTCAGCAGTACATGAAGTTACTGGTAGAGATACCAAAATTTGTAGAAGCTTGTGCACAGAAGGGTACATTGTTTTGTCGCACGCTTGTAGAGCTTCTATAGCATTGATCTTTCTATTCTTTTTTTTATTCAACTTAATGTTTTCTCTTCTTTGTGAATCAATTTGTTTTAGTCTTCTTCGCCATACTTTGAGTTCTCCCATCAGTTGCTGCGAAGAACATGTGGTAAGATCTGAGCAGTATTCTTGAAACAAAGTGTCAACAGCTGCTTCGGGAATTTCTTCGTTGTCACAACTAAGAAGTGCTTGGAATGAGGATAATATGTCCTTTTGAGATAAAAATCTATCATTTAGCTGAGCAATAAAGTGGTCAATAAAAGGAATAAACAGTGTTCTCTTATAATATGACTCTGGTCCATCATTGGGCATGTTGTCTCGCCCTATTTGCCTCTGGGATAGGCGTGGAGTAGAGATCTCGATGTCATTCCGTTCACAAATGTCAAGAACCTTTCTATAGATATTTGAAAATTCCTCATCTGCCTTATCTCTTATTTCTTTTATTTGGTCCCAAGTGTCTTGAGCGTAGTTCACAGCGCCTGCAAGGTCAATACTTTCTGACTCAAGAAATTTTGTAAGAGGAAGACTGTATGAAAATATTTTTTTTATTACTTCAAGGGACAAAATGAACTCAGATTTTCTAACTGCACACAGTAAAATATGTGCATTTGCACTTGTGTCCTTGTCATTCCATGTCGATATCTCTTCAAGCGACTTGATTACCTCATTATACTTCTCAGCGAAATTGTCTACGGCGTTATGTCGTTGAATCCACCGAGTAGGGCTAGGCTGCTTGAGTTTCTTAGAGGGATTTTCAGAAAACTTGTTCAGCACAGCTTGCCTCTTAGGGGTATTGAAAAAATCGTAGACCTTATTCACCGTACCTAAGCAATTTCTGACCATCATGCAGTCGCAAGCATCAGATATGGCCAAATTCAAAGAGTGGCTGCTGCAGTGGACGTAGTGCGCATTTGGAACTTCTTCTTTGATGTAATGTTGCACACCCTGATGTACACCACTCATAGTTGAAGCTCCATCAAACATTTGCCCACGAATATACTGGATATCAATTCCAAAATCTTTTAGTTTTGTCAAAATTACATTGGCGATCCCCTTTCCCGTCAGATCATATAGTGGCACAAATTGAAGGAAATCCTCTCTCACATTATTGTCTGCTTGGTCCACATATTTAGCGCACAAAGACAACTGTTCGATATTAGAAATGTCTGCTGTTTCGTCTGCAATGACAGAAAAACATTTAGCATCATTTATTTTATCTACAAGTTTGCGTAGAATAATGTAATTACAAGCTGAGATAATTTCATTTTGTATTTTCCAGCTAGTGTATGTAGCATTTTTTTTGCAGTGAATAGGTGCTGCTTTAACGCATCATCTCCACTCTCAACTCTCAACCTTAGAAGGGCTCGGAAATTGCCCTCATTCTCAGTAAACATTTGTTCTCCTTCGATGTCAAGCAGGCCTCCATCCCTGTGTCCTCGCAATGCCAATCCCTGCCTTCCACAAAATATCACCGTCTTGATTACTGGAGACAAAAGGCGTCGGTTTTCTTCAACCTGTTGTTTGACAGATTTGTCTATTTGACACACAATATCCAGTTTCTGCCTATTATGAACTGCTGAGAAACTTTCTGCGTCCAATTTGCTATTAGCGTGATATGCAGTCAACTCATGTTTTCGAAAGTCTTCTTGAGCATGGCGCCAATCGCAGTACTTAGTTCTAACAAATCTGCCTAATGGCAAACCTTGTTTACCAGCTCCACTTGGTGCAAACCCAACGCAGTATTTGCAAAATGCGCCATCTAACTTCTTGGAATAAATTAGCCAGTCTCTTGCTTTTAACCAGTTATGCTGAAACTTTAACTTCTTTTTTCCAAATTCTGAGCTTGGGAAGACGTAATTTTCATCTGGTATCCATACCTCTGTTAGAATTTTCAGTTTGTCTTCATAAGTAATAACCTAAAACCAAATACTTTGTCTTAATATTTTTGTTAGATAATTTTTGAAAATACATTAAATGAAAATAAATTAAGGCAATACTGTAAAGCAAAACATATTAATGTGTAATTGTAATAAATTCAAATTCGTATTCACTTTAAAAACTTATAAAGTAAAACACATTTTCTTGGTCATTAAATTCGTGAACTTTTGATACCATATGTAGCCATAATTTGTTGCTTTAACCTAGGAAAATTCAAATAAACATTAAGTAAAAAGTGAAAACTTAATTGTTCTCGCGTTCTTCAAATGCTTAATGTGTAACAAAATAATTTAATTTATTTTACTTGAAGAATTATTGAATGCAGTAACCTTATCAATCATGATTTGTGATTTGCCTTGAGGGCAGTAAAAACTGTACGGTGGCCGGCGCGGCGAGGGGACGCGACGGCGGCGGCGGGCTGCGCTGGCTTCAACAAAACCCGACCGTAGCCCCTCCTTATAGTATACGTCCTCCTAGGGCCGCTCCCGCTAGTATCCCCCTCCCGCCACCTCCTTCCTGCCACTCCCCACCCTATGTGCGGACTGGACTGTCATACTTGCACCAATAAGAGAAATATCATTATTAAGAAAGATGAGTGGAAATATATTTATAAAAGTAGAATAGAATAACTGTATGGAGTAATTTACGTCTGTGGGTAAAATAATGATTCTTACCTGTTTTCCAATAAAATTGCCTATGTCATGAGGAAGGTGACTGGATGCGTCTAATTCTGGCATTGGTGTCGGCGTCAGACATGGCGTTGGCAGAGTTGGTTGGATGTCGACAATCATCTGGTCGTCTTTCTTCAATGCTTCGTTAGTGTTCACATTCGTACTTGGTTCTGATTCAGTTTTACTTTTACTGCAACATGGCTGTGGTTGGGATTCGTCTTCTTTTTTTGTAATTTTGATATAGGACAGTATTAAACCAGATTGTTCTAGCTTTTTCTTCTTATTTACACTCATCTTAAATCACAGCAACTTAAACTTAACTTAAAACTTAAACGTTATGCAACACCACTATCACTGAATATATAGATTGATTGGCACTATCACTGCTAATATGAATCTCCTGATAACTGACAAAAGCTCAAGCTCACATCGCAAGTCAAGACAAAACAACTGACTGTACTGAGTGAGGGAGAACTGAGGAGTGACGAGACGAGGCTGAACGGCCAAACGGTGGTGGGGGGTTGTGTTGTGAGTACTGAGTAGTGGGAGTGTATGGCGGAGCGCGGAGGGGACGGGGCAGTGACCTTGGATGAGACAGTTGGTAATCGCCGTGCGCGTGCGGTGCCAGTGGCCCTTGAGTGAGGAAAGTAGTTTAACCGGTTTACGAATGGTAGGGAGGGGGCAGAGAATTCTCAGTACTGTCCTGGCCACCGTGAACGTCGTATCGAACATCCCATTTGGTGTTAAGAGAAGCGCTTTTGCTTTTATTGTTATTTTTCGTTTTCAATTGAAATATATTTAATTGTATATATTATAGGCTCCTGGGGGGGGACCGGACCCGTTCGTCCCCCCCCGTCGGTGCGCCCCTGTGGGACATGGACTTGTCCTGCTGCAGGGGGTGTCTGTTGAACTCGTCTGACGAACTTGAGAAGTCTTGATGATTTTATTAAAGATTAAGTGGGAACTGTAATTTAGTTTCTCATTTAATACATCGGTCGCTTTCCTGTTTTAGGGCCTTATAAATATGAAATTCCTCTAGGGTGTCGAGAGTAAAACCTTTGCTGCAAACTTCCACTATTTCAATGTTATTCTCAATATTTCCGGTGCTATGTTCTTCGTCTATATTGTGTTGAGCGTAGCTTGATTTTTGAGGATTTATTCGGGGATTGGGTTTGTGTTCCTTGACTCTTT